TAAAAAGTATTTTGTTTTTATTTTATAATTTATAATAATAAATGTAAAGTGTTATTTCAATTAAAAATATTACTACGAATTTTTATTATTAAGTTGGTTGTTGATTGATTATTAATTATTATGTATTTATGTATTAGTTCATAATAATATCTTGATTATTTTAATCGAGTGAATATATCAAAGAATATATCAGTTATGAATTTATGATGGTTATGTAATACATTTCAATTTTCATTCTATATAATATTTATTGTAATCATTCGATTATTCCCATCACTTGTGGAGACACTGAAAACAAAACGACGCGTATTCGATATGGATAAATAATTTATCGTATCGTAAAAAAAAAACAGTAGTATATAATATATGACAATACGCAGTGGCGGCTCGTAGATAGGGGCGATGGGGCGATCGCCCCCCTTTTAAAATTATCATTTATTACAAATTTATAAGTTTATTATCAATTTTTAATTTTATATTGTAGTATAATATTATCAAAAATAAAAATTGTGTTTTCTATAATATTTACATTATTAAGTATTATGAAAACATTATCAGATAATGGGAGTTTAAAAATAAATCATTCAACACTGTAGCTTCTGAAAATCGATAACCGATAACGATTTACCAAGATCCGCTAGCAGCGCACGCCATGCTTGGGCGATGTTAAAAGTCGCTCGTCATAACTATGATCGGAATACAAAAACTAAGAAGGGGGAACACAATAATAATACTGCCGCCGGGGCGATGATTTTAATCGCCCGATACACATGGATTCCAAACTTGCGTATATTTATTATTTACTTTGTGCAGTCATAACTCGCAATCAATTATTTCAATTTGATATTTTTTTTTACAAAAATATATACTGGAATTATTAATTTTTTAATCATGGATTCATCCACACATAAAAATGTTATTAAATTAATTTAATTAAATAACCATTATTAATATTATTTGTGTTCGATACCTACTTTCCATAAATAAGCAATTTTATATCGCCCTCCCACTTTCAAAGCACACGAGCCGCCACTGACGATACGATAAATTCTAACACCTCCCCGCAAAAAAAAAAGGTTTATATCTGCAAGACAGAAATCTTTACAATTTTTATATGTATGCAGTTACACTTCATATACATCAATTACTTAATAAAAAAAATTTGTTAGTATATTCCTTTATAAAACATAAAAAAAAATCCTTCATCTTAATAATTATTACATAAATAAATCTGCGAACAATTAATGTTATTACACATGTATGTTACTTCTAATAATTTTGTATTTTTCTCCTAAATAACTGAATATTATATTCCCAATTTTTATTTAATAACTCCTAAACTATATTTTGTTCCACTATTCATTATTTATTACTATTGGTATCATTATTCTGCCTATTGTTTCCATTAATTCTTTATTTATGCTCCTTAATTTAATCTTTCTTGTTTCATCTTTAGTTAATTGACCTTGTAAACATTTAATTTTAAGTACATTCACCTGACTACCTGTATCTATTAATAAATTTAATTTGTTCGTTTTGCTTGTAGCCTGTAGGTGATATACATGTTATATGATTATTTTCTAATGATGCGACGATGTGGAAGCACCGTGCATATCCTCCGCGATTATCTGGTTTATCGAATGAGTACCGTGACCTTCGCTCGATGCGTTTGCATTTCCCGAATTATTATTTCTACTTTCATTATTACGTTTTTTATAACACTCATTTATACTATGTCTAGGGATGCGCAAACAACATCGATAATATCGTTTCATCGATATTACAGTCTGATATTATCGAAAATATCGCATCGATATTTTTATACCGATATATCGATATAATATCGATGCATATATATAATATCGATATATCCATCTATTTTTTCATACTTATTTTTCCAAGTTATTTCTCAGACATGCCTTGATGCAGGCTTTAATGGATTTATAATTATCTCAGTTGTCGCCGTTGTCGGTCACCGGGACAGTGTATCCGTATATATGTATTTGCGAGTTGCGGCTCGCTGTGAATATTATTATTACCCGGAAGTCTTGCACTCGGCACTCGACGATTATTTTTCAATAAAATTCCTGGAATGCACCGCAGTTCACAGTGAACACCGACATGTCGATATTTATCGATAGTCGTAAGCACTCGTAAAGTCGTAAAATCGTAACTCTGAATAGACTACCTATGAAGTATAGGTATTATTGGTATTAAATATTATTTGCTCTGTGGCTCTGTCGACCTGTTGTTTGTCGTTAAGAACTCAAGAGTCAGTTATTAGTTTATTACTTACTACTTAGCATTGAACATATTTACATATAGTTTTAAATATATCAAATCTAAATCTACTTGGTGCTTACCAGTTGATATACTGTCAGTAACGATTAATTGTTTATCGCTGCGATTTAAAATATTAATTGATTTTTGGAAAACAAATTTTAAAAATGAGTTTAAATATTACTGATGTTAATGAAATTTCAAAGTGGAATTCTTCACGTATTCTACAATATTTCACTAAAGTCAGTCAATATTTGTATAAGTGTAATATCTGTACAAAAGTATATAAAACACCCAATGGTGGTGTTCAAAATTTAAGAAGCCATTTAATAACCGAGGGTAAAAAAGGAAGAGATAAAAAAAGAAAATCACAACCTACATTAGAAAATATTAATAAAAAGCAAACATTGGGTAAAAAAACGGTAAGTATAAAAATTAAGTAAAAATTAAAGTTAAATATCAAGTCCAAATGCAATAAAAATTAATTTAAAATAAAATTGTTATGAGGACATGTGGTTTATATTCTTAAATAATATTTACAAAGTATTATTAAATATATAAATAATTTTTTGAAAAATTTTAATAGTTTTAATTTTAATAGTAGGTGTTGAAAAATAAAATATAATATACTGAATAACAATAAAAATGTATTGCCTGGAGTATTATATTTTGCAGCACAAATTTTAATATTTAATACGACAGATTTCGATTCTTTAAATCAACACTTATATTTTATTACCTAGCTAGTATTGAAATATTGTATAATTTTATAGTAGCTCTTTAATATTTATTATTTTGGGCGTCCATGAATAATTGTAATACCTATATATTTTTATAAAATTAGAAACATTTTTAATTAATTATTATTTATTTATATGCATAAAAATACTTTGGTATCAAAATTTAAAATTGTCTAGGTAGGTACTTATATTAGTTACTAATAATCTAATCTTGAAAAAAATATCAAAAACACAGGAAATTGCAAGTGAAAATGAAAATGCATTTAATATTGATGATCCGTCTGCGACTGAAGCAGAACTTTCGCCATCTTCATCGTTAGCTACAACAATTAATGATGGCGCAGGATGTTCACGGGTATAATAATTATTATTTATATTAATTATAATTAATATAATTTCAATAATGATAATAGTTAACTTTAAAAATCTAAATTACACCTAACAATCAGCAAAATAACAATAAATTATACTTTTGTTATATTTATATTTAAAAATTTTTTCTACTAAGGATTTTCATAAAAGTGACTCGTCAATAAGGGAATCTATATTTATTGCCTTCGATCAATCGAATCCTATTAAAAAACAGCAAACTTTGCCGAATATGATGTACAACATTTCTTCATTTTCAGGTAATTAGTATTCATATAACTTTATTTTTCTACCTATTTAAATATATTTTTATATTTTAACGAATAATAATAATATATTTATAATACCTAGTAGGTATATATTATATTACATAGATATAATACAACTTAAAAAAGTTTGATGTATAAAATATCTAAAATAAATACTTTTTCTACACGTTTTTATGATTAAATATAGATACTTTTAGTTATAATTTTGAAAATTATATATAGGTGTGTATAATAATTATATAATATTATTAATTTAGCCGATGGTTCGAATACTGTAAAAATTACCGATGCAGTGGTATACTATTTTTGTAAAGAAAATGTCCCGTTTGCTACAATTGAAAGTCCTGGTTTCCGAAATTTACTTAGTACAATATGTTCACTTTATAAAATTCCCAGTCGTGACACAGTTAAAAGAAGAGTAGACGAAAAATTTAGCGTATTAGCAGCCGAATTTCGAGATAAGCTTATCAAAGTTGAAAATGTATCACTGACAACTGATGTTTGGACTGAAACCATGCAAATGCGAAGTTATATCGGAATAACTGTTCATTTTTTTAACAAAACTAATATTGAATCGGGTAAAATTTCATAATATTTCTGGTGATATACGTATATATTTCTTTATTTATTCGGAATCATAAGGTATTAATGTTATTTTAGGAGTCATTGGAGTAACCGAACTAGATGAAAGTCATACTTCCAGATATTTAGGTGAAGTTTTTGTTAATACACTATCAGAATGGGGCATTGAAAAAAATAATGTAGTGTCTGTAACAACAGATAGTGGGGCTAACATGAAAAAAGCAGTAGTTGACGAATTTGGAGAAAAACGACATTTAGCATGTTTAGCACATACTATTAATTTAATTGTGGAAAAAGGTATTAGTAAAACCCAAGAAGAAAATGCCACAACTAGAGTTAAAAGTGGAGGAGTTCCCCAATTATTGCATAAAGTTAGATGTATTGTTAAATACTTTAAAAAAAGTACCAAGGCGTGTGATGAATTAAGAAGTGTTCAAAAGTCAGAAGGTAACAAATACAATTATTAATAATTTTATGACAAAATAATAATTCCTTTTTTATTGTTCAATTTACAGGAGTGTCCGAAGGAAAATGCAGAAAATTAATACTTGACGTATAAACGCGCTAGAACAGCTCATTTTACATGGTAGAACGATTTATTTCAATGTCAACTATAATTTCAAATATTTTACTTTCTCGAACGGGTAATGAAGTTCCGGAAATGTTGTCGGCACGAGATCTTCAGTCTTTAAAAGAAATCTGTTTGCTACTTGGCATAATTGAAAAACTAACAAAGGAGCTATCAACGGAAAAGTATGTCATGTCAAGTAAGATCATCTCTGTTATACTGTGCACTCAAAATTTAATTAAAAACGAGAAACCAGTTTTTAATATTGCAAAAAACTTACAAATTAAACTATTGGAAGAGTTTGTATACCGGTGTGGGAAGTTGGAATATAACCTAATATTATCTATTTCCACTATACTTGATCCAAGATTTAAAGATATATACTTTATAGAACCACAAGCCAAATCAAAAATATTAAATACACTAGTAAATTTGATCGAGGCACAAAACCCATTTGCAAACAACGGTGAGATCTTGAAAAATGAAGTAGAAGATAATGTTGATTCTACTAATAGTAATAATTATATTGATCTTTGGAGCCTACACAGGAGTCTTGAGAAAAAACAAAAAAATAAAACAAAGTCTGGATCTCTTGCGAAAGATGAGATACATTCTTATTTGGATAAATCGGTTATTGGACTCAAAGAAGATCCGATTATTGAATGGGAAAATATCAAAGGAGCTTTTCCAAATCTATATAAACTATCCAGACAATATCTTTTTATATCAGCCACATCAGTACCATCAGAAAGATTGTTTAGTAAGACCGGTAACATTATGACTAAAAGTAGAAATAGAATATTAGGCTCTAGATTGTCAAAACTAGTATAGTATTTTTACAATCATTAGATGATAAGTATTGGTTCTGAATTTCTAATTTTCTAAATGTTTTACCTTACAAGTTGTAAATTTTATAATATTGAATGTACACAAAATTATATATTAAAATATTTAATTGTTATTTATTTATATGACCTATTAATATTAATATATAAAATTATATCGATATATCGATATTTTGATACCTATAAAAAAGTTTACATCGATATTTCATTCATCGATATATCGATATATCGAACCATTGTCGTTTTTGCGCATCCCTAACTATGTCCGTTTCGTTTACAATATGTACATGTCAAAACTCGTACATTATAACTAGTTGGTGGTTGCGTAAAATTATTCCGAGCAGGTGGACGACTGTTATTATTATCATAATTAGATATAGGTTTGTTCCTACACTGTGCTGCAAAATGATTCCCGTTACAGTGGTAACATTCTATTACAGGTCTATTAAAATTATTTGGTTCAAAATTCCTACCATGATTATTAGTATTATTATATCGTTGAAAGTTATTATTAGTATTTCGTAAAAAATTGTTATTTTTATTATTCGAATAATCGTTCCTATACTTATAATTTTCTCTCTCTGCATTATATTCTACCTCCTCAGTAGTAGCCAATTGCTTAGCTACCTATAAAGTTTTCGGATTTCGTGCTTTTACAATTGTTCTTATAGAACTTATTAATCCTTTTATAAAAATATTTAATGTTTGTTTCTTTAAAGTTTCGTGTATTACTCTCGCTTCCGATACTTCTTTGTTAAGTGTACATGCAGTACATAATTTGTAATATAGTTTTTTTACTCTATGACAATAATCATTAACATCCTCATCATTACGCATTTTAATAGAATTTAACTGTATTTGTAAACTTGATGCTGTTATAGTATCTTCAAAGGATCTGTTAAATAACTCTTAATATATATCCACTTAGTTACATTCTTATACTTTATCATTTCCAAAGCTCTACCCAATAATCTAGTAGTCTTATATATTTAACCAAAGTTGGTGCATTTTTCTCTTCAACTAAATTCACTGCCATATCACATGCATTAATAAATGGATAAATGCAGGGTCGCCCGGAAGGGGGGGGGGCAGTGTGGGCCATTGCCCCCCCCCTGAAAATTTTTGTGTCAGTTACAACATTGGAAGTATTTTTACATAAAGCTGGTCTTAGGTATTTAGCGACTATGCGACAATCATTGTACCTAACAAGTCATGTATGATATAGGAGGTATTTAATTGAAAAAAAAAACAATACGATTATTAATTAATAATAATCATTAATCGCTAAGTCACTTTTGGCTAGTTCCTACAGATTGCATGTTAGCGCGGACGAGTCAAAGTAATTATAAATAGTCGATCTCACTTATTGCTGAATAATATATAGTAATAAATTACTAATAATAGTATTTATATTATATATGAATCGTGTATGAAAAACATAATAATAAAATGAAAATACTTAGAAAGCATACGCGATTATAAAAGCAGTCTGCCGTCAACCTTTTGACAGAAATTATTACATTATTATTATTACATTTATGGTATTCTAGGTAAATGGTAATGTGTTCAGCTACCATGGGTAGAAATGTGCGATTACTATTTATAAATTATTATCAAACGGTTAACGAAATATTGTGTTTTCTAAGTCCACGTATTCTTGAGTGTTGACTGTTGTTGCCCTACAATTTACAAATTAACTAATTTTTAAGTTAAAATTATTAAAAACTTCATTAAAAAGTGCAAAATATGGATTCAGTTCCTAAAAAGAAGAAAATGAGAACACTGGACTCTTATTTTTCAAATGATAAAACAAAAAAGGTAAGCTCTTATATTGAATTATTTATATTTTATTAAAATTACATTCTACCATCATAACAATTTAATGTTTTTGCGAGTTAAATCAATTACATTTATACTTAAGAGGACGTCTCACCCGTAATATTTAGCGGTGAAAACAGGTCTGCGAAAAACAAACGAAATGCTATTAAAAAATGGTATTAGAGTAAAACTACCTATTATAAAATTTATAGAGCACAATATTTAGAAGACAATCTCATCGGCGTTTTTTGAAATACGAATTATTAAAAAAGTAACAGTTGTTTAAAAAATGTAAAAAAAGATGTTTTTGTGCCTTTATAACGAGCTGTATATTTAAAATAGAACAAAATCCCGATGAGGTTGTCTCCGAAATATTGTGCTCTATAAATTTCATTATAGGTATTTTTGCTCTAAAATCGTTTTTTACCGATGTTTTGTTTGTTTTCCGTAAACATGTTCACGTTGTTCAATTTAATTTTTCATTACCGTAATGTGCTGCCACCTGCCAGCCGCCGCGACGTCGGCCGCGATTTTCCCCCACTACCACAACTATCGTGCGGTGACGGTCGGTCGATGGTTATCGGACGCTTCCAGAAATAGACTGGACTAATATAGTCAATATAGAAGTCATGATAATTATACGACTACTAATATAACTATATAAGCCATAATAATTATTTATGACATTATGATTACTGACTACTAACAGCTGTATTTTCAATAATTTGTACACAAATAAGACGTCGTATTCAATTTATTTTCGATTTACATTCTACACAACCGACACAATCATTGCTCCTGGATAATTCGATGTAGGTAATCACATAATTTCTTCGAGATTTTCGTGCCATTGTGTTCAAATTATTTTTGTGAATTTTTTTTTTATAATTATTTTCCATTTTTTAAACAATGGCAAATAAAGAAAATAAACAAAAACGGAAACGGTCATCAAAAAAAAAAATAACAAGTTCTCTTGCACTACGACGATGCAAACAAATAAAGTAAGTATGATTTATGAATATTATATTACATTAGAAATTTTAGAAATTTAAATACTTTCATTGTCTGTTTAAACGTTTATAGTAAAATAAAATAATAATATTTCAGGCTCTACCCGTTCAATAATTAAATTAAAATAATTCTAAATAATCTCTTTTAGGAAAATAATTCTAAACGGGGGCCAGTAACAGCCCCCCCTCCCTCCACTGTAGATGTCAATATATTAATATATGAACTTCAAATTTCTAAAAAAAAAAATGTGTGAATATGTATTTTAATAATTATTGAATGGCTGTAAGACGTTAAGGTCAAGTTTGTGAAATATTGTTTTGAATTTTCAAGTATTTTGTCCACGCGAATATTTTTGTATCAACATTAACGGTATAAACTATTAATATTAGAATATAAAGTATTTTATGTATTTTATTGACAATTTCAAGCTCCACAATAATATACCAAATAGAATTGTAGAACATGACGCAATGATTTATGAACAGAGTGGTTCTAGCACAAAATATGTAGACAGTAGTACAATAAATTATACAGATGTTTACCAATCGATTGATAATGATTTCCAAAGTTGCGAGTATGATCACAATTTATATTATAATATCTATTATCTACTATTTATTGTTTATTGTATTGTATTAATTTCATGATAAATAATTTGTTTTTATAATTATACAACAAATTAGTTCAACAATTTTGCCAAATTTATTACATGAAAGTAATTCAAGCAATGTTGAAAAAGATTTGAACCTTGATAACAATCGGTAAGTTTAATATTATTTTTTATTTCAAACAGTTTATTTTAATAATTGAATACTAAAATATTAAAAATGATTTTAATAATTAAATATTAAAATATTAAAAATGATTTGTATAATTAAATATTAATATAAAAATTATTGCAGTACTGGTCGTAGAATTATTGATGTATTTTATATTTTTCAATAAATAAAAAATGATATTCACGATGGTGGATTTGGGTGCTCTTTTATAAACTCAGAGTTAGTCAAGGAGATTCGTAATGGATATTACTGTGCATGGTTATTTAAATGCTCAATGTGTAATATAACTACCAAAATCGAATCAGAAGAAACCGGGAAATATATTGAAGTGAATAAAGCAACTGTTGCCGCTGCCATTGGAATTGGAATTGGTTACTCCCAACTTAACGAGTTCTCAGCTATTGTAGACATACCTTGTTTTTCTAGCAATACATATGGTAAGCTATTCGAGCAAGTTAGTCAAAGTATTGAACAGACTGCTTGGGAACAAATGAGATTGGCAGGAGCTGAAGAAAAACGTTTGGCAATAGAAGCTGGAGATATTGATTCAGATGGTACACCGTTATGCATTGTTGTAGCTGACGGTCAATGGGGAAAACGCAGCTATAAATCAAAATATGATGCGTTGTCAGGAGCTGTAAGTATATTGAGAAAAAATGTTTGCGATATACATTATAGGTACAGACTACAGAGTAATCAATTTAACTGACTACGTTCATTATATCGAAAATTATTGACTTTTTCAATTTTTTTTTCAAACTTAAGCCCCCCCCCCCCCAAAAAAAAAAAAAAATAAAATATTTTTTCATTAACTTACACATTTTTATAGCAAATATAGTATAACAATGATACATGATAATGTTTTATTTTCAAATTTTATTATTATGTTAGATACACATACACATATTATATATTACATAATAGTTCAATATTACGCGATAAGGTTTACTTGTGTGTAAGGAAAAAAGAAAAATTATTAAGCCCCCCCCCCCACCCCAAACGAAAATTCTGGGTGCGCGCCTGCTGGGTATTCAAAACACAATACAAATATATTAATTATAATGTTTATTAATTATTGAAAACAAATAGGCCACAATCATTGGTTTTCGCACAAACAAAATACTGTTTGTAGGAATAAGAAACCGGTATTGCTGCATTTGTGAAAGAGCGCATGCACTAAAGTTAACTGTCAGAGATCATAAATGTTTTTTAAACTGGGATAAAGCTTCGACTGGAATGGAAGCTGATGGTATAGCCGAGGGGTTCGTAAGAAGTGTCGAATTACATGGTTTGAAGTTTAATAGATTGATTGGTAATATTATAATTATTAAATTGTAAACATTAAATATAATTAAAAAAAAAATTAAAGGTGATGGAGACAGTAGTGTTTCGAAACGATTGTTGGAGTTAGTTCCCTATGGTTCTAATCAATTGGTTAAAAAAATTGAATGTCGAAACCACATTTTAAGGAATTACAGTACAAAATTATCAGCGCTGACAAAATGTATAAAATTCCCGATGTATCTGAGACAAATCATAACAAAAATATAACTAAATTAGCATGGCTATTCGAAAAGCTATACAATATCGCGAGGAGTTGGATGCAAGTGATGCATATAAAATAAAAGGTTTTTATTTTTCTCAAATACATCAATTAAAAATTACTAAAATTATTTTAATATATTTTAGGACTACAAAAGGACATTTTAAACAGTCCTTATCATATTTTCGGCCAGCATAAGAATTGTGACGCTTATTTTTGTAAAACACGCAAAAACATCGAAAATCATGTACCAGCTATAGAGAAATGCGGTCTTATGCTGGAGATTTTATCGATATTAAGAAGAGTGGTAGACAATGCTGTTAGTTTGATTCTCGATGTTACTAATAATGTGTGCGAACAATTTAACAGTATCATTAACAAATTTATCGCAGGAAAGCGAATCAATTTTTCATTAAAACAATCATACAACACACGAGTTCAAGCTGCAATTATTTCATATAATACCAACGGAAATTTTCTAAACGCTCTTCATAAAAACATTATGGAAAAAAGTTCAGGTAAAAGAATGAATATTTTGTCAATATTATTATTATTTATTAGTTGTAACTAAAGCCTATAATCTATATATTTATACTATATATTGAGTATATAGTATAGATATAGCCTAGAATTTATTTATACCTATACATACTATATACCTACTTTATAGTGTATAGTATAAATAAAATAAAAATGAATTAAAATTACCATGAACCTAACCTACTATACCTTAAAAAGTGTATACATTTAGACCTTAAGAGGACGTAACAATGGTAAATGCGTAAATTTGCTATGTTACGCATTTGTAAGACGAAGACAATAAATACCACTAAAATTTTTTTTGTTCTACCACTTTTTACCATAATGCAATGTAATAAATATAATAAAAAATTTTGTTTTTGAAGGTATGATAGAAAACGGTTCTTAAACTCAAAAAAAATAAAAAATGAAAACACTAGAAAAAGAAGACTTAATTTTAATAGAACATCGTTTAAAAAATATAAACACACTGGTCCCAACGAATTTTATGGTCTAGCTGAGCCTTTGCCGATTGAAGATAGATGCACATCGGAAGAATTGATAGAGAAGAAAAATGAGTTTATTAGATCAATTACATTAAGCAAGTACCAAAGGGATATTTTAGAAGTCGATACGAGAGAACAAAGTTCCAGTTCTAAATGGTTCGCAGAAAGACTTAACAGATTAACTGCCTCAGATTTTGGAAAAATTTGTAAAATGCGCCAAACTACGTCATGCAAAATTACAGTCTTCAATAAATTATACAATCCATCTGGTAGTGTAAACGAACCAATAGCATGCAAGTATGGCAATAATATGGAACCTTTAGCTATCAAAAATTTTGAAAACAAAATTGGAGTACAAGTACGTCGATGTGGTTTATATATTGACGAACAATATCCATATTTGGGAGCCTCTCCAGGTATATTACACGAACCTATTATTGAATGTGTTAACCTTTTAAATGTATATAAAATACAATAATCTATAAAATTTAAAAAGTATTCTACGATATTATTTCAAATTTGTAATAAATTGCAGATGGGATTGTTGATGATAATACTATTTTAGAAGTTAAATGTCCATATGCAGCAAGAGACTGCCTAACTCTAAACGAGGCTATTGACACTAAAAAAGTAAGTGCCTATATAAACTAGCTACTTTTAAGAAATTAATAGTAAAATGTATTGTCTTATGATAAATATTATTATACCTATTGCCTATATTACACTATTAGATCAACTTTTTAAAAATACAAGAAGACGGACAAGTTATTTTAAAGCGCGACCATAGTTACTTTTATCAAATAACTGGGCAGTTAAAAATTACATCAAAAGTACTATGTTATTTTGTTGTGTATTCGCAAAAACTGGACTCATATACAAAAAATCGAATATGATTTTCAGTTTTGGACTGAAAAAATGGAATGGAAATTAAAAAGGTAAGATTTAAAAAATTTTAAAATACTTATTTGCAAAGCTAACTGGTATTGGTCATTACTCATTGTAATTGTTACTACATACCTATTCCTAATTAAAAAGTAAAATAATTTGATTTCTTTTTTCAAAAATCCTATTACCCCCATTTAATTTGATAAGTACATAAAACTTAAAAATAATTTTATAATACATTGTAAAACATACTAAACATAATATAAATTATACGAAATACTTACATACTTAACACATAATAAAAAATAATAATTATATTTGTTGTCAGATTTTATTGTGAATGCTTACTGCCAGAGATTGTCGACCCTCAGTACGGGAAACGGTGTTTAATAAGTGACATCATAGAACCTAACTATATACTAGAAGAAATACAAAAAGAAAAAAACAAGAAAATAATTTTAAAAAAAACGATTTTTCTAATTCTAATTAGAATTGACTATTTTATATGCATGTATACAGTAAACTTGCAGTATACAAGTATAAATAAACAGTTACTGTATCATCTACGTAACTATTACTGGTCTATTATATTTTAAAATTCCCTATAGGTTACTAATAGAATAAATGGATATAATGTCAACAAAAAATTAATAACGTAAATAACGTAACATATTTACTTAAAGGCGTGTTAAATAGTAAAGAATTTATTATTTTACGCGTATTTTAAAAAAGTAATAAAGTTATATTAATAAATTGAATTATAACGTGGTATATTAATTAGAATACTTATACAATATATTGCTAAAACTATTTAAGCTAAGAAGAGCTTAAATTGGTAAATAGATGATCACTGTGAGCTAGGAGCGAGCGAGCCGCGTATTGGTACGTAAGAAATAGATTAGCATTGAGCGACAATCTACGCTACGGTGAACTGTATTGTTATGATACGTTCTAATTGATCGTCCGTAAACGAGTAATGTGCCTAGGGATGGCACCGATATATCGATATATCGATATTTACTTGTCGATAATATCGGTACATCGATATTTTCTCTTCTACATTATCGGTATATCGATATTTTATCAATTGGTACGACTGTACGAGCCGATACGTCATACGTGATACGTATCGGTTTTGTTTCTTTGAAAATCTAGAATCTCTTTTTTTCATGGTGGTGATACTGTCGATAAAAGATAATAATTAGTTTATCAAATTATCGCCACCGACTCGGCGACAATATTACCATTTACCATTTACCGCCAAATGCCGATTGATAATGACTACTGACTATAGTACGAGTAGTTTATAGCCTTATAGGTTAATAAAATTTTTATTAGTTTATTGTTTATTGTTTATTAGTAAATAGTAATAAACAATAAACAATAAATTACACTTTTTAAAAGTTGTGTCTTACTGTCTTGTGTGTTTGCCGTGTTTGGTGATATACTGATATTTGAACAATGGCCCCTCCCAGTAAATTGTGGAAAACATTTACTAAAATAAACCAAATATTGGCTAAGTGTAACTTATGCAACACAATCATAAAAACCAGTGGAAATACGTCAAATCTTAAAGCACATCTCGAAAAGCATACCAAGAAGAACGTGGATGAAACCGAAGGCACAACCAAGAAAAAACAGGTTGCGATTTCAAGCTTTGTGTCTTGTAGCCAAAATAGTAGCCAGGTCCAGGAATACGGAAAACGAAAAAAATCTAGTTTGGACAATGTGGTTGATGATCCAGACGATCCAGATGAGGTAATTTTACTTATAGGTTTTAAAATTTAGCAGATTGGGATAGTATCCTGACAAAATGGCTATAGATTATATAATATTCTAAGACTTTTTTTTTAACTTTTACCATTTAGATTTGTAGCGTCACAAGTGATACACATGGACATGGTGTTGTTGCTGAACCGTCAAGCATATGTATTCCTAAACAACAAAATATTGACAAAATGTTTGGCCAGATATCATCAATAGCTGGTAAGTTATTCAATGAATGATAAATTTGTGAGCTAATGCTTGTTTTTTTGAATCTCATACATTTTTAGAAAGGTTGTTCTATACACATATCAAATATTTTATGTTATTTGTAAATGCTGCTTATACTTCTAATTTTCCTTAACTTGGCATTATAAATAATTTATACAAAATATAAATAGCTTACACAATTATAAATGTAAAAAAAGTTTGTCTATACAAAATGTATATATTTATTACTTTAAACTATAACTATATGAATATTTTGTTATAAATTACACTTAAGTAATATTAGTAATTTATTTTTATAGTTGGCGGTTCCCAATATCACCGTATAAATGAATCAATTGCTTATTATATCTGTAAAGATAATAAGCCATTTTCTACTGTTGAGGGAAAGGGATTTCTTCATATGATGAAACAAGTATGTCCATTATACAAAGTTCCCTCAAGAAATACAATGAAAAATATTATAGACCAAAAGTATTCCATTGTTGAAACGCGATTTCGTTTAGCATTGCAAGATATTAATTATTTTTCACTGACAACTGATATTTGGACTGATACCCAACAGATGAAGAGTTTTCTTGGTTTAACTATACATTTTTTGGAAAACCAATCTTTACAATCTGGTTTGTGTATTATCTTTCATTAATTTAAATATTTAACTTGCAAAATGTACCAATAACAAAAACAATCTTTGTTTAACAGGTACTTTTGGAGTCATTGAACTTAATCAATCACACACTGCCGAGTACATATCCAGAGAAATATCAAATTGTTTAATTAGATGGAGTGTTGACAAATCAAAAATTGTAGGAATTACTAGCGATAATGGGGCAAACATGGTGAAAGCAGCTAAAGAATTATTTGGTGTTGAAAAACACATTCCATGTTTTGCACACACAATCAATCTTGTGGTTGAAAACATAATAAAAAACACTGATTCGTTATTAAATCTCTTATCAAAAGTGCGAGAAGTTGTAAAATATTTTAAACGCAGTACACATGCTAGTGATCAGCTTAGGAAAAGGCAAATTGACGAAGGTAAACATTATTTTAATGAACATTTATATTATTAGTTTACATTATGATTATCCTAATTTTTATGTAACATTAATTTTAGGAAAAAAAAAAAGGGAATTGCAAAAAACTAATTTTAGACGTCAACACGCGTTGGAACAGTGTATATTACATGGTGCAACGGTTTCTAGAATTGTCTTCATTAATATCTGATATATTACTACATCGTCCATCTGCACCTTCAATGCCTTCCGCCATCAACCTTCAAGAACTTCAAGGTGTCCTAGTAGTACTGCGACCATTTGAAAACGTTACTTTAGAGATGTCATCGCAACGTAATGTGACTATTAGCAAAGTGCTTCCACTTGTGAGTTGCTTAAATAATAGCATAACTTCGTACACACCTGATACTGAATTGGGGTCAAAATTAAAAGATGTAGCAGTTGCTGAATTAAACAAAAGATTTGGGAATATTGAAAAATTCTATTCATTTCCTATTGCTACATTACTTGATCCTAGATTTAAGAACCTTCATTTCAAAGATCCTGATGATTGTTCCAAAGCTATTACAAAGTTAAAAAAATTAGTATGTCAACATAATATAATATCATCTTCTTCTGAAGATGATCAACCTGAGGCTGTCGAAAAAAAATTTGATTTGTGGGAACATCATAAAAATCTAGCGCATCAAAAATCAAAAAAAAAAATCATCAAAATCAACATCTATAAATCAGGAATCAGCATCAGACCAAATGGTTATGCAATACTTAGGAACACCGGTTATAAATCTCTCCCAAGATCCTATTGAAACATGGGAAGAAATGAAAATGGTGTACCCACAACTGTACAACGAAAGTCAGAAAATGTTCTGTATTTTGGCGACATCAGTTCCATCAGAAAGGTTGTTCTCTAAGGCTGGAGCCACGTTATCAAAAGAATGCAACAGGTTGTTGGGAAAAAGGCTGTCAAAATTACTATTCTTAAACTCAATTGATGATAAATACTGGTTTTGATATAATACAAACACCACTATATGTTCATTTGTGTGCATATACAGTGTTAAATATTGTAAAAATATAATTTGTTAAAATATAATTTTTTTCCAGATTGGCATTATTATTATTATTATTATTATTATTATTATTATTGTAATATTTTACATTTTGGCAATTTGAAATTATGTTCTTTAGTAGGTACTGTTTTATGTTACTGCCAGTACCTAACTGTCTAACCTAATCAGTATACATTAAACAATAATAAACATTTTCTTATGACTAAAATTTTAGTATTGAATACATTGTTTATTAACTGTTTATCAACTTAACATAAATATTTTTCTCATCAACTTACTAACTGTCTAATTAGCAAATAATAAAGTATTTCAACATTATTATTAGGTATATTAGTATAATATAATATAATATAGTATTATATACTATATATATTATATGGAAAGATTGGAAAGTATTTGCATTTGGGAATATGTATGGAAAGCCTTTATATAGTTTTCATTTGAACCGCATCATCACAAGTGAGAGTAAAAGTTGGTCAAAACACGCCTTCTAGTGATTGAAAAAAAAATTTAAAATTCCAATTCCAAAAAAACGCGATATATCGATATTTTCTGATCCGATATATCGGTGTATCGATATATTGGTTTTCGATATATCGGTTATCGATATATCGAGGTCTGGAAAATTTTTGTCATCCCTAAATGTGCCTCTTCCGCGATTACGACGCGCGGACCTAGGGGCGTGGCCTGCCGTGACGGCGGCGATATGGCTAACAACGCCATCTCTTGAGCGTTGTATGTCTACACGTTTCCGTGAGACGTCCTCTTAAAGTATGCATTTTTTCAGTTAATACAACTCACAAGAATACCCGGATATTTAAATAATAAATAGCCAATATTATTGGCACAATAAGGTCAATTTTTATTTTTATGAATATAACTATTAATTAAATACCTAATTAATAATTCAGTTATAAATTATATTAATATTACCTAAGAATAATAATCATTGAGATTTTGATAATAATATTATGATACCCATTACCCAATATAACATCATAAAAATATTACTCCAATTGCTGGTATGATAACATTCTTTTATTATTGTGGCGGGTCACCACCACATAGCTGCCGCCGGTAGTGATAAGCGCGGCTGAGATGGTTGGCAACACCTCCGCAGTCGACGCCGATCGGTCACCGTGCCGAGCCAGCGTTTTTCTCTTTTGTCTCTCGCTCGAACTCGACAACTCCGCACGTCGCCGATATATATATTATTATTAATGTGTTTTAATTTGTTTTCTTTCCGCGTGTCGAATCACTTTTATCGTTGTCGACATCGTCTAATCTGTAATATGCTTTAATATTATTAAAACAGCTGTTACCTTTAAAAAACTTTCGTCTACTAGTTTATCATAAGGTAACCCGACATCCTTGGTCGTGGCGTCGTTCTCGTGTCACCGACACAAACAACAACGGCGACACGCCATATTATCTATGATTGTGTGGTGATACCGTAGTATCACCACTACTACAATTATTATGTACTTGTAAATATATCGTAAAATCATTGTAAATATATTGTAAAATCATTGTAAATATATTGTAAAAACATTGTAAAATTATCGTATCGCTCCTTATCGCGTGTGCCAATCGCGTCCCCGACTTTGTCAACCGCACACCCCTTCCATCTTGTACGACTCGCCACGGTGTTAACGTCGCCTCGGGCGACGCACCGACAAGTCCCTCTCGTTTTTATTGCGTCCGATCGTACAACCTTGTCTTTTCCCTGACCGCGATTTTTTCTGTTACCTCCACCTTCCGCTACAGAACGTTTTCGCACGAAACCTCGTGACATCGCATTACTTTTTTTCTTTCGCTAATAAATATTGTCCCTGTTTTGTCAGTCAATATTTATTAAAATAAATATCGTCTTTTGCGATTTGTTTGAAACTGTTTGTTTTTTTATATTTAATAAAATAACTACCTCGACTTATCCTTTCGATTGTTGGTACGGTTCACCTTGCGACCCTATAGTGTACCACATTTGTAATACAGCTGTATAAGGCTTAGTATCATATTTGTTGATTATTCGTGATAACAATTTTGTTATTTCTTGGATAAAAATAATTCAAAATCGATAATATTGCTGTAACACTGAATAATTGGAAATAAATTTGAATTTAAACAAATTTTAAAAATTGTTTAAAAATTATTGACTGGACCATATTGAAAGTTTTTGACACCAAAATTTTTCTAAAAATCGGATTTACAAAATGGCTATCTCAATTTTTTTTTAAAGTCAAATAGACATTTTTTTAATTTTTAATTTTACATAAATAATATAAAAAAAAAATCGAAAAATATTTTAAATGTAGCGCAGACGACAATTGACAAATTAAAAAAAAAAAAAAAAAGTTGAAAATGTACAGTAGAACCAAAGTAATTGCAATTGTCAATTCATCGTGAAATACCCTGTATATTTCAGTGCAATCTATTATTATTCGGCAGTTGGTAAATGATTTGAATGCATCGGGTAAGTATTTTTTGTTTTTTTCTCTAGATGGAATACTACTCATACATTTAGTGAATAGTATGGCATGTAAACTATAACCCAGGTAATGACAACATTACTTACAGTTCCTTTACTGCAGTTAAATTTTACAGCTAAATCAAAATGTGGAAAATTGTTTCTCAATTTAAATAATGTCATTAATATTTGATCAATTTTACTTACACTTTCAACATTTCATCTTAAATCATATTTTATCTCTACATTTTTCACTAAATTGTAAAGAGCCATAAATATTTCACTTGATGGTATGCCAGTATAAGAAGTTAATAACTCCTGATTTTGAACTAAATTGTCAAATGTGAATGACAAGCTTAATGAATTTAGTTTCAATTTAATTTCTTCATTTTGTTTTTTTCAGAAAATAGTTTTTAGTTTCAAGTATAGTCAGTAAGGTTAATGAATTAATTACTTCAGATATACTAAAATTAAACGCAATTTATTATTATATTAAATCTTAACACTCAAAAAATGAATAATACCCTGGGGAGTTTGATTTTGTCGGTTCATCATCAAGACTGAGTGCAGTATTGTATTAAAATTCACTAACAACACCATCATTACGAGCAATACCATCATCACTAACCACACCAACGTCACTGACTATTTCATTTTCTACCTCTTGATTCATAATAACTTTTGAAGAGTCCTTGCGTTTCTTTTTTTTTTCTGGTGTAAGATGATGAGTGTCAAATTGATTTAAACGATGAGGAAGTATAGTAGGACTATTTAATTTATTTCCGCCTTGAAAGTGGCAACTACACACACGAGCACCTGATTTAGGCTCATCTGTTCTTCTAAAAATAATAAATATGATTTTTTTTTTCATCATTAAATTTGTATAGTCAAATAATGAAAAATACCACAATACTTCAAAAAACTCTAACTATTTTTAATACCCATAGGCTATAGAAAATAATATAAAACATATTAAGTAAAGGCTTATAGGCAGAATCCAAACAAGTTAGAATGAAGCAAATTGATGACAATAATATAATTAGGTATATATAACATTTTAGTTATAATTTTACAATGATCATTGAAAGTTGTCCACAATATACAAATTAAATTTGTTTTATTATTATTATTATTACCAATACTTTTACTACCAAATAAAATTATTTTATTAAATATGTATCTACGAGTATGTGACCAAAGCTACCTTATTAATTTTATCCAATGTCTTCTTGATTTTAATTCTTTTGGAAAGCGATAAAAACTACAAGAACTGTTTTCTGTGTAATGAGAACAACCAAATACTCAGCATAAAATAATATTTAAATAATAGTGTCTGTATATAATGTTATTGTATGCTATTAATTAATAATTATATAATTTTTATAATAAAATTTTAAAAATACGTGATTAAACTATAAGCAATCTGAAAAGCATAGCAAAAATAGGGTTGCAAGCGGTTTAAACTTATTATGCACAGTGCATTAATACACACAAACCTTAAAAAGTTATAAAATTTAAATTTAAAAAATGCTTAAAAGCTTAGAAAATGTATAAATATTAATTTTAAGCGACATTATTACATTGTAATGGTTTTTGTTTGGATCCAGTGGATCCATTGATAAGATTTGATAACGTGTATGATGTAAACACTAATCACCCGTATTGGGTAATGGGTATTGTTATGGGCTACGAGATATGCTAATAATATAAATATATATAATATTATATGTAACATTGCTAGAAGGATAATAAATCATTATAATTCATCATCATAAATCAAAATAGCAGTCGTTGGGGTCAAAATATCGAGGTTAACATCCTGGAGATTTTGTTTTCAAATGTGAAAACAATTCCAAGAATTAATATGAATTAGAAGGTTGTCGACTACAACGACAAGAGACTTCTTTGTATATAAGAGAGTCCAGAGACCAACAGAGGCAGATGTACCAGAGCCACGAAGACCTGAGCAATTTCACGACACTCAGCCACTTTTTGTATCAGTTACATGTACTTTGTTTATACGTAATAAACACATTATTGTTGATAATGATTATTGTTGAGTTGTAAATTTCATTTAAATAACACCTTGAGTCTGGATCTGATATTGGCACGCAACAATTTTGGCGCAGTCGGTAAGATTCACTTTTCAAGGTGGCAACTGTCAAAGGCTATCATCAACAAGAAAGACTTGATCACTTTTCTTCGCTGATAACTCCAGAAGAGAAAACCAACAACAACGTTGCAGTATATCAGACAAGATGACAACATCACAGAACATGGCATTATTGTAAGTGAACAGTTAATTAATTTATTACACAATATGTTACAAAAGTATAAAACCTAAGAAGTATCATTTAAGAAACTGAATATATATTAAGTAGGTCGTAAATTTTTTTTTGAGGACATATTATTGAATTTTATTATTATTAAAGGGTATATTATGTTGAGATATTGTGATTATTATATTATTTTGA